GAAAACAGCTTCAGAACGGACGCAGGAATGCCGTCTGGCCCGGCAGCAAACAAGAGTTTCAACCTTTGAAGAGCTAGATTGACGGTATGTTCACTGATGTGAAACGGACGGTGCTCAAATGCATCTGTTGGAGAATCGCTTATAGCAATCGTGACTTGATTTGGTGAGGCCATTCTTTGCTCGACTGTCGAGCTGTTCAGTCCGTATTTTTACTCGAGTTCTCGATTCGATTTTGTTTCGTTCTGTGCTGTCGCGTTGCGTCGTGGAAGTGTCGCCACCTTCACGCGTTCTGGCAAGTTTACTTGAAGTTGCAAACACGAAACAAATAGTGCGTAAACGTGCCAATGAGTCAGCAGCGGGCTCTTCAAATAAGGTGCTAATCAAGCCCAGCGTGTCGCAGGATGACGCCGGAAAACGAGTACTGCAAGCCAACCAGTATGCAGTACTCCCGGAAGAAAATGGCGATGGTGACGCCGTTCCCATTGCACGACGAGAGCGGATTCCCCCGCTTTTCACGCCGGTGAAGGATGTTGCCAAGCTGGGGTGCTGAACTGGCAAAACACAAGCTGCTGCCTCGCTTCAAGCTTTGCAGCATCGGTACCAAAATCATGTGCTCCAACCTGGAGTAGTACAAACAAATAGGAAGTTTCCTAAAGAACAACAACGTGGACTTCTTCACGCATGATCTGCCATCGAAGGTGGTTTTGCGTGGATTACCGTCGTTCGAGGCGACTGCGGTGAAATCCGAGCTGGAGCGGTTCGGGCAAAGTACCCGATGAACCGGCGTCCCAACCAAAACTCCAGCTACCGTGATCAGTTGTTCCTGGTGCATTTTACGAAGGGATCCACCAGTCTTGCGGCTCTGAGATCCAATATCCGGGACCTGTTTCAGGTCATCATCAGTTGGGAGCATTACAAACCCCAACATCGTGATGTAACGCAGTGTATGAACTGCCTCTCATATGGCCATGGCACCAAAAACTGTCACATGAAGACAAACTGCGGCAAGTGTGCTGGAACTCACTCAACTGCGTCCTGTGATCAAGTCAATGACATCGAGCCAACGTGTGTCAACTGCGGTGGAAACCACCAAGCCTCCAATCGCGGATGTCCCAAGCGAGTGGAGTTCATTAATATCCGTCAGAAGGCCACAATCAACAACCAGCTCGGTCCAAACCAAACTTCCAGCTGAAAACAATTGAAGCCATCGGAGTGGAGGTGAGCACATCACTTGGCCCAATCACCATCATTGCGGCCTACTGTCCCAAGCAAACCAACATCAGGGACGGCTCGTCACTGGCCCTCCGGAAATACATCATCAAACTCACCCGGAGGAGCGGGAACTTTATCATCGCTGGCGATCTGAACGCAAAACATCAAGCTTGGGGCAACGGTCGGAGTAATAGAAACGGCATCATCCTCAATAAAGACCTGCAAGAGGGCCACTATACCATCTTGGCCCCGGACTCTCCCATTCGGTTGAGTCGGTCTAGGGTCCATGCGACCATCGACATCTTCGTAAGCAACATGGGACACAACATCTCGCAACCTGTGGCATTCCAGGAGCTGAGCTCGGACCACTACCCTGTGGTGGCCGAAGTTGGATCCTCGGTTAACCGATTCGAAGCTTCCTGGCGCAACTACCATCGAGTCAACTGGGCACAATATCAACACTGTGTCGACACAACCATCGACTACGATGTCCAACCGGGGACGTCCGAAGATGTTGACCGGTGTCTACAAACCATCGAGGAGGCGATTTCCCGAGCCAGGGAACAACACGTGCCAGTATCCAGACAGATGAGTAACACTCTGAACCTTTAAAGCCCTACCAAAGATCTCATTAGACTCCGTAACACCATTCGTAGGCAGTACCAGCGTACTGGCCTACCTAACTTGAAGACCAATTGTAATCGATTAACAAAGATCATTCAGGTCAGGATGGTGGATCTCATAACGATTTTGCTAGTAAGATCCGCTCTCTCCCAGATTGTGGTAAGCCCTTCTGGAAACTTACAAAAATTCTTCAAAACAAGCCTAGGCCCATTCCACCACTGACCCCACTGGATCGTCCCGGCGACCCAGTGGTTCATCTGATAACTCCTGAAGAGAAGGCTGCCGCGATAGGTCAACACTTCGTCAGCTCTCTTAATCTCGGACAAAACATCGTCAGCCCTCACGAAGCTGAGGTTGCTGAAAATGCAACCAATCTTCATCAGATTTCCAATATTTTTTCCTGAGGAATCCGAGATTACGGCTGACGAACTGTTGGCCTATATCAAATCATCTAAAAACATGAAGGCCCCAGGTTTCGACAACATCCTGAATCTGGAACTCAAACACTTGAGTTCCAGATTCTACAACCATCTGGCACTGATTTTTAATCAGTGCCTCAGACTTGGCTACTTCCCCTCGTCTTGGAAGTCAGCTAAAGTCATACCCATCCGTAAACCTGGGAAGGATCCGTCCTCTCCTTCAAGTTATCGACCAATCAGCCTTCTCTCAGGGTTATCAAAACTGTTCGAAAGAGCAGTGTAGCACCGGCTCCTAACATCTGCCGATGAAAACAACTTGTTACTCGATGAACAGTTTGGTTTTCGGAAAGGTCGTTCGACTGTCTCGAGCTGACTCGAGTAACAAACATTCTCAGACGGAACAAGTCTGTTTCGAAAACATCTGCCATGGCGTTGTTGGACGTTGAAAAAGCGTTCGACAATGTCTGGCATGATGGCCTGGTGTTCAAATTGCAGCAGTACGGTCTATCAATCTTCCTAGTGAAGATAATTAACAACTACCTATCGAACAGGACGTTTCGGGTCTCTCTGAATGGCATCACATCGGATGCTTTCAACATCGGTGCCGGAGTTCCACAAGGAAGCATCCTTGGCCCCATTCTATTCAACCTGTTCACCTTCGATATGCCGGCTCTCCCTGATGGTTGACTCTGTTCGCAGATGACGCATCCATCGTCTACAAGGGTAGGGTCATCAGAGCTCTGACTGTCAAACTTCATAGGGGCTTGGACGTCCTGTCTGAATATTTCAACAGTTGGAAGATACGTATCAACGCGGCAAAGACCCAAGTCACCACACTCTAAATCTCCCAGACTTGTTCCGTCGGAGAATAACAAGATCTGCCTGAACGGCACAGTGGTGGAATGGTCCAAAGAGGTCGTGTACCTCGGGCTAGCACGTTGACAAAACAAAAACCAAGTGCAACATCTTGATAAGATCGTTGTATCCACTTATCAACAGGAAGTCAACCCTGTCCCTGAAAAATAAGCTTACTGTCTACAAACAAATCATCTTTCCTGTAATCGAGTACGGAATGCCAATCTGAGAGAGCCATCACCTTAAACTCCAAAGGATCCAGAACAAGATCCTTAGTATGGTCCTAAACAGTTCCCCGCGGACTAGAAATTCTGAGATCCACCTCCTGGCTTGAATACAGACATTAGAAGAACGGAGAGTATTCATCCTGGAAAGGTTCAGAAACACCTGTCTGAGATCAAATCATCAGATCATACGTGATCTAGCACGTTAGGTTAAGTTATACTCGTAGTTATTCCATCCCATCCGTCTGCTCTTATGATTATTTCGTGAAATATTCTTAATTGCTTAACTATTTTCACTATTTGTACAATACACCAAAAAATACTGGATATGTTCTCCGTCGAATGACATATTGCATGACATATTTCCCATTAATGGTATTGAGAAATATGCCTTTGAAAATACCCCCCATTTTCGTTACAAGCCTCGTTTTCGATTTCTTAATGTGACCCCCAGCATTGTAAAGAAAGATGTAGTCGTACGTCAAAAATATACTGTATACTTTTTTCCATAATAGACTTAATATTTCAGAAGAGATTACTCCACAACCAAATAAGCTATTCGTTATATTAGAACGTCAATTTAAAGGTTTTTAAATGTGAATTCACAAAGGTGCACTTACATTTTGTTTTTGTTAAAGTAACTATAGTGAACAGACTGATTACCAGCAGGTATCAAAATTGTCAGAAAATGGCCTATTTTCACCACACTTTGGAAAACTTTTCCACTAGATGTGTTTCCAAGGGAAATGATTTGGACAAATAGTTTTTAAGATATGATCAGATGAGTGAGTGGTAGTTTTGAGCTTTTCTGGTGGACAATCAATGCTATTGATTTTTTTTTATTGAAATCCTTCACGCCAATGGCACAATAATATTTTTTTGTTATTTTTAAGATGTTCTGGGTAGGATTCTTGATATTTGAAATCATAACTAGCTCATTTATTTACTTCTGTCCATAATTTAATTGTTGTCCTAAACTTGAAAAATCCGTTCCTATGGGATACAGCCAAAACGATGTGCTTTAGAAGTACCATGAAATCAGATAGATTACCAGGTACATATATTTAATTTCAGTTGTGGATGACAGCTGAAATTTTTTTTAATAGCATTGATTTTCTACCAGTGAAGCTCAAAACTACCACTCACTCATCTGGTTATATCTCAATAACTGTTTGTTCAAATCATTTTCCTTGGAAAAACAGCAAGTTTATGAGTTTTCCAAAGTGTGGTAAAAATTTGGACTCAAAATATTAAGAAATTAAAAATCCCGCCCATGGTGAAAATAGGTCCTTTTTTACAATTTGGATACCTGCCGGTAATCAGCCTGTTTACTGTAATTACTATAACAAAAACAAAATGTAAGTACATCTATAAGAATCCACATTAAAAAAAAAAAACCTTCAAATTGGCGTTCTAAGATCACGAATAGCTTATGTGGTTGTGGAGTAATCTCTTCTAAAAGATGAAAATCCAGGGTTGTAGCCGAGAGGGATCTAGGTTTCAGAGCAAATTCAAAAAAGGCGTTTGTTCAGAAATGCCAAAATAGGCGTTTTGGCCAAGTTTGGCGCAAATCGGTGACATCGACCACAGGCGGTGTACCCACTTGAGCTGGAATGACCCATATGATATTTATTTTATGAGTGTAGAATTATAGTTCATCACTTACCTGATACACAACTATCGTATATCGATCTCCAAATATTATCTGAAAAGAAAGGTTTGAAAACAATCAGATGAGAAATTTCCTCAAAATGACGAAAAATGCGATCTGTCACTAAAATACTTTTAGTACACAATGGTAGATGTACCAATAGTTGCTGTCCGTTTATTTTCCATTCGGAATTCCATATGTCATAATAGGAACGAATAGCCTACTTTACGAACCTCCCATTATTCTCCATTTCTACAACGGTGTTTTTCCCCCAGCAAGCACGCGCCTATCTGAAAGCAGATTTCCCCTTCGATGACCGGCCCCACACGCTTCGGACAATGAGAAAATTTATGATATACAGGTGAAAGATTGTTTTGGTCGGCTTTTCGTGGGGCGGCCTTCACAGATGCACGCGGTGTAGTGCTGTTCGTAATGTAGATTAGTTCATTCAAACTGCGGCAACTCTGTGTTTACACAGACACACGTGCCACCAGAGACTGGCCCGAAACAGGTTTGCGTAACATCCAACGTTAGCCGGCATCATCCGAGACGGCAGCACGCCACCCCAATTTTCACCCAACGGAACAGAACTTGACAAACGACCAGAGGCCGATCATCATCATCAAATTATTATTAACATGTTAACTGCAGTAGGGTAAGGTGGGGTAATGCGCGCTGCGGGGTAGTATGAACAGCAGCAGGGTTTTCACCCATAATTACTGCCAGAACAGCTGAGTTATCACTTGGAAAACTGTTTATATCAATTGGGTATTGAAAAGTACCCGATAACATGCCGTTGGTCTTATTACCACGTCGCCTGCATAACACCCGTTCCCCTACATTCGTCGCATCGGTGGCATAAGTAGGGAACGAAGGTTTGTTCGACACCACAGCTGTTTACACACAGAACAAAGTGATTTAGAGAGTTGTTTACCATTGAATTTTTTCCCCCGCATATAACGTTTCCCATCAATTTTAATAGAACCAATCTGCTCTGCTTCAAAGTTTTACAAATTATGGAGCGAGGCAGTGGCGTAGGCATGACCGAGCGGGTCATGTGGGTTCAGTTCTGAGAAACTTCAAATGGAAGTCACAAGAAACTCCTGCAAAACAAACTTATTAGATCGCATAAGCTGATTGGAAAATCAGCTTCTGAATGAATAGATAAATTCAATTTAAATTGAACATATCGATAGCGGTGCACGCTACGCCACTGGATAATGCACAGACAAGCGCTATTAATTGTCGGCAAATATTAATTAGACCAACTCCAAGCAACTCCCCCACCACCTGTCTGTCTGCCTTCGGATCGGTATTCCAAATTTCCCATGGAGCCGATGTCCCATGCTCGGAAACCTTCCAAGAAAGCGGATTCCATGGCAGTCGTCTGCCTGCACGTCCCGGGAGAGCCTTAAGCTGATTAAGTTGAGTTGTATACATTGTAAAAGAAAAGTTTCAGCTGCGAAAACAAATCAAGAACTTTCTGTTATGGTCCATTTTGGGACAGCGGGGTGGGATGGACGAGCGAGGTGGGAGGAGTTCCAGGATTTCTGATGCCACACATTTCTTCTAGGTTTTGCTCTACAATGTGTAACAGTAATGTGATTGATTTTGATGATGACAGAGTGGCTATACAATTTTAGGAACAAACAAAAGTCAATCCGCTTTTCATCACCTTATAGATTGGATCAATCAGAGGGATGACAAAAGAAAACATACTGCTTGTGACGGTATCGAAATGAAAAAATGAACAATGCAACTAAAAATTGAACTTTTTTCTATCCTTTTTATTTAACGTCGGGTAATGTTCTGCAATTTATTTATTTATTCGTCAATCAAAAAAAAATAGACTTCATGATAACATTAAAACTTATCATCTGTGATTTCACGACAACTGTGATTGTACTCGAAAAAATGCAACACTTTCTTTTGTGTATAACTTTTTATTGCATGGGTAAAAAATGATGAAATTTTGAGCAAAACTAGTTTAAAGTGTACTGTTAACATGTCACAATCTGTCAAGTGGCTATCGAAATGGCTTCCAAGCAAGAAGTGCTTCGACAAAATATTATGGGAGTGGTGGCCAGTCCCACAGGTGGATCGCGAAACAGTTTGGAAGCGACAATTCGACCGTGTCCCGTGTGGTAAACTCCTTCAAAGAGACCCAGCGGCGAGCTGGCAGCGGAAGAAAGGCGAAAACGACCGATCCCGTGAACGCGAGGAAGGTGTGTGATAACTTCAAGCGCAATCCGAACCTTTCGATTTGGGACGTGGTCAAGAAGGTCAATTCTTCTATCTGGTTCGTGGGTCGCACTTCATGTCTTCATGGTAAGAAAGGCGCCTAACCGGATCGATAATCAGAATACGGTGGCCAAATCCCGCATCAGGTAGCTGTACCGCGAGTGGTTGGTGCAGCCGAAATGCATCGTAATGGACGACGAGACGTACATTAAATCGGACGCCAAGCAGATCCCCGGCCTGGAGTTTTTTGTCGGCAAGTCGCGCCTGGATGTTCCAGAGAAGTTCCGGAAGAAGAAGGTTGACAAATTTGCCAAGAAGCTCTTAGTGTGGCAAGCGATCTGTGGGTGTGACAAATTCAGCAAGTCGTACATAACGACCGGCACCAAGAAAAATGCCCTCAGAAGCGCCTACTGTCATTCCTCCGGTCCCAGAAAGGAGACACTCTGTTTTGGCTGGATCTGGCTTCTTGCCATTACGTGAAACCGGTGATGGAGTGGTACGAAGTCAACGATGTTATTTTTGTGCCGAAGAAGGTAAATCCACCACACCGGCAAAGGAAGTTCTTCACAAACGACAAGGATTTGAAGAAAGAGTGGATGAAAGTGTGTAAGAAAGATGGCGCTAGTGTTGCACAGGATTTGATGGGTAGCGTTAAGTCCAAGGTGCAGGTATTTAGCCTAGGAGAAGATTTGGAATAAACCAATTTTGTAAAAACGTAGCTTATATGTGTTTATTTATTCCATGAGAGTTCCAAAAATATCCGACTTAAAATGAACTTTTTGTGATCATCCTTGTCTGTTGTATTTTTTTTTCAAGAAAAGTCTTTAGGTTTATCATTTCATTTTGGACAATCCCGTACCAATCACCGATGAACGTCGATTAATCACAGACAGAAACCAAATGCCAGGGAGAGGACTTCCTCTCCTGGCACCCATCAACACATGGGACCGATCGGATATTTTTTCGCTTCAGCTGGGATTGAACCTGGACATACTGGAGGGAGAAATCAGTCACGCATATCACTCAATCACCGCACAGTGCACAGTGGGGCCAGGCCAGCCTAGATTTCCACACTATTTATATGTTTTTATCAATTTACAATGCTTGAATATACAGGGGATTGACAAAATGATCGGGACAGGCAAAATATTATCAAAATTCAAATTGCATAAACTTTTCAAAAATGATCCAATTTTGATGTAACCGGATGCGTTTATTGCAGTGTAAATGAATCATTTGAAAATTTGTGGTGCTCTCTAAATACCGCAGATGTTCTGAATTTTTAGGGTTATGCCAAAAACTGATTTATCATCGCTTGTATCTGGTATGAAACTTTATTTGAATCCATATTTTTTCCTGTTACAAGGATCAATGTTTTTTTTCCTTAATTCCGTCGATCTTGTTTTTTGTGCTGAGCACCAATGCTACCGACGCCAGAGAGGCAGCTCACACACCTGGACCCTACATATCGACCCATCAACTCATGAACCGGGGACCAACGACTTTACTATCAGAGATGTTATGCCTCAGAACATCCCGGTGGCACCGACTGGGATTGAACTCAGGCCTGCTGGGTTGAGAGGCAATCACGTTTACCACTACACCACCGGCGCCGCTTGGTGTATTATTTTGTATTTGAACTCATTTTAATGTACACGTTCGGTATTAGAGATAGAGCGATTTCTCCGTTTTACCAAGTCAGGGGAAGGTATAATGTTCAGTTTGGGCGTTATCATTTGAAGACGAAAGCGTAAGCACTTGGACTGCATAGCCAATGAGAACATCTCAAATTTTAATTCAATTTACTCATATATTGTTAAAAATGTAGGATGTCAGCGGAAATTAATTTTACCCATGTTTTCCTTTGGAAAATCTCAAACATCTTGCCGGAAAATGAGGAAAATTTACGAACATTTTACTCAGTCTAGAAGGAGTACCAATAGACTAAGTGAATCCAATCATGACTTATCTCATATTCGGGAATTTTGCCCTAAAAAAAACTTGGGAAATTTTACTGCACTTTTTGCGATTTATGAGTTAATTGAACTCAAACTTGGGTTGTTTTTTCTGGCCGTGTGTATCAATACCAAAAAATTTCAAACTTTGGAATGTAGTTGGATCCTTTGAATTTGCTTCAGCGAGTTTTTCCACACTCCTGCAAACGTTATTTCTAAGCAACCCAATTTTGAGAAAATTAATACTCTACAGAGATGGAGAGCGGACGAAACTGGACGACTTGACGATCCAACAGAGAATGATGGTTTGAGGCACGACAGTAGTACTCTTTTATAACTTTTCATGTTCAAACAGAAGAATGTGTAATAAAGTGGTACTCGATTGTGACGAACTTACCAATAACTCATTTCGTCATCTCCATCAGAAGTACACAATTAGAAAAAAAATCATGTAAATTTAGGTGCTCTGAGAGTGACATATTTTTTTGTTTATTAATTTATTTGATAAGGCTCAACCAAATTAACTTTACAGAGCCGATGATTCTTGGTCACTATACAATATATCTTAAAAATATAGTCAAAAGGTACAACACAATAAACACTTTATCTTCCGCTATCCAAAAAGCCTCCTCCATCAGAACTGGAGCCGCTTCCAGTAGTTTTATTGTATGGCAAATTGTTGTACGCCAACGAGGGTCAGAGCGCGTCCATTGCAGCAATGGACGCAAAACGTGGTCAGCACTCACACACTCATCACGAAACGGTTGCTTTCCAAAGTCGACGACGCATCGACCGAAAGAACTGCTGATGAAGAACAATGAGGAGGACCACACAATGGTTGCTGCCGAGAAAACAGAC